CCTGTACCGGGGCCTGCGAGGTCTGTCTCAATGCGCGCCTCTCCACTGGTTTATCTGCATGCAAATTTGCGACCTCAGACAGCTAGCTGAGGTGGGCCCTCCCATCGCTACCCCGCACCTGGGATCCGAGCCCTCCGCTGTTTGTGCGCCACCCGGGTCAGGGGAATTGTTTTTGCCCGACCCTCTCCACTGCTGGCTTTGCCCCTCTCGCTGGTTTAGCTGAGGGGTTCACTGTTTTCGAACTCCATGTTGTTCAATTTTCTGTGATTTGGTTGCATTTATTGTTGTTAAAACTTTATTTTTAGATTTGGTTGTGCGAGGAAGCAAAGTGTTTCCACCTATGCTTCCATCTTGGCGGAAGTCTCTAATTGTAAAAATTTTTAATGTAGACTTTTTAAACATCTACAAACAAATGGAAAACACATTTGAATTAACAAATACCTTAACACTGGGTTGCTAGGGAAGATCAGTAGCAAAATTGGTACTAAATAATCAAAATATATGGGATTTATAGTTTAAACTGTAGAAAGAAGTATAGATAACTTGCAAATGATGAACATACCACTAACCACAGAAAGTTTTCCTGAGGATGAACGTTACCACTATGGTTCATTTACCCAAAAATCTCAGGTGCGAAGACTTCACTGTCTATAAGCTATTTAAGAACTACTTTATGATGAAATCTTCCTGAAAGTGATGAACAGAGTGAAGAAACTTTCCTTAATCAACAGGCAAACCATCCAGGAAAATCCACATCAGGAGGATCCCAAAAGCTGAGAAATGATCTTGAACAACTGGACCAGATGCTCATAGCAAGGTTGGAGCTCCAGAAGAGAAGGGAGCAAGGTAGGAGGAGAGAACTGCCAGACACAGAGATCACTTTTAGGGACAAAACACACAGCCTGTTTCAGGTCCTGAATGCCACAAATGGAGGAAGAAGTCTAAAAGGGATGTGGGGTGAGCAGCTGATCACAGTAAGAGATGTGGGAGATAGAAGAGATAGAATAAACCAGAACTTTTGGTGCCCTTAAAGGACAATAATAACCTGGTGACTGGTTGTGTCAGGGTGGGGCAGGGGAGAGAGATGAAAGTCTTTGTATTAGGCTTTGCTTTGGATGATCCTTTCTGATATCTCAGCATAAGAAGGTTGGTCCTAACAAACACAACTGTTTCTAGACTCTCTCATTAAAAACCTAATTGTTACTTGACTTGCTGTAGTGAACCTGAATTGGTAATTCTGTTAAGTCTGGCTATAGCAGTAAATTTGTAACTCGAGATAAACAAACAATATTTTTGTTCAAGTAGTACTTAAAATAGTTTTTACTATAACTATTTGTTCTTCTTAAGATGTTTACATGCTTAAGGAACTTAATCTACTAAATTTGTATATGACTTATTAGATGTGTAAGAGGTTTTTTATTAAATTTTAAATTTTCTTTACTCTTTTTAATGTATTATTATACTTTTTATTGAATTTACTGGGGTTACATTGGTTAATAAAATTATATAGGTGTTAGCTGTACAGTTCTATAATATATCATCTGTATATTGTATTGTGTGTTCAACACCCAAAGTCAAGTCCCTTTCTGTCACCATTTTCCTCTCCTTTATCATCTTCTCCCTCCACCCCTTTCCTTATGGTAATCATCATACAGTTTTCTGTGTCTATGAGGTTTATTTTTTTTCTTTATTTAATCCCTTCACCTTTTTTACCCAGCTTCCCAACCCCCCTCCCCTCTGACAGCTGTCAGTCCGTGTTCTGTATCTATGAATCTGTTTCTATTTTTTTGTTTTTTTATTTTGTTCCTTAGATTTCATATCTAAGTGAAATCATATGGTACTAGTCTTTCTCTCACTGGCTTGTTTCACTTGGTTCATTCATGTTGTTACAAAAGGTAGGAATTGCTTCTTTTTATGGCTGAGTAGTATTCCATTGTGTGAATGTACCACAGCTTTTTTGTCCACTCATCTACTGATGGACACTTGAGTTTCTTCCAAATCTTGGCTATTGTAAATAATGTGACAATCAACATAGAGGTGCATATATTCTTCTGAGTTTGCGTTTTGGGTTTCTTTGGATATATTCCCAGAAGTGGAGTTGCTGGGTCATAAGGCAGATCCATTTTTAATTTTTTGAGGACAATACTGTTTTCCAAGAGGCTGCACCAGTCTGTACTCCCACCAACAATGCACAGTGGTTCCCTCTTCTCTGAATCCTTGTCAACACTTACCTGTATTTGTTGGTTCATTTATGACAGCTATTTTATCAGGAGTTGGTGATAATCTTTCTGATTATTAGTGATGCTGAGAATGTTTTCATATGTCTTTTGGCCATCTCTGTATCCTCTTTACAGAAGTGTCTATTCGGTCCTTTGCCCATTTTTTAATTGAAATTTTTAGGGTGCTGAGTTGTAAAAGTTTTTTATAAATTTTGGAAATTAACCCCTTACCAGCTGTGTCATTGGCAAATATGTTTTCCCACTCAGTGGGTTGTCTTTTCATTTTGTTGATGGTTTCCTTTGCTGTACAAAAACTTTTTAGTTTGATATAGTCCCACTTGTTTATTTTTTCTTTTGTTTCCCTTGCCTGAGAAGATATATCAGAAAAAATATTGTTATCACAAATGTTTGAGATTTCTCTGCCTATGTTTTCTTCTAAAGTTTTTATGGTTTCAAGTCTTACATTTAAGTTATAAGAGGTTTTTTTAAACTGTGTTTAGGGAGGATCTGTTAAATATGCAAGTTTGCCTTATTAAATTTGGAGTGCTACAGAATCAGTTAAACTAGATTCATTATTTTCCTTTGAAAAGTCTATGGAAGTTTAAATAAATATGTAAGTTGTATGTAACAAAGTAACCTGAAAACCAGTTCAGAAGATAATGACCATCATCAAATGTGTGAAAATAAGCACAAATTTCACTTAAAGGTATCATGAAAATCTAAGCATTTAATGTCATTAAAAGGGAAGACACCAAATATTAAGTGCTTAAATTGCTCCAGGGTTTTCCAACCCATAAGTCTGTAAAGTTGAGAATGGAATTAAATTACAGAATGATAAGAGAGGAATCTTGGAAATAAACCCAAATATCTGCCATAGGCATGGAGTGAGTATGGGAATCCACACTATGTTTTTGTAAGGCATGTAATACTTGAGCCAATCATCAGTAACATTTTCTAAAAGTTCACTGAAGAAATGTATCCTTGAAACTAGTTATTCGTTTCACCACTATTTTAAGTTTAGTTTTAAATACTCCTCTTTTCATTTTATATTAAATTGTCAGATATAAACAGCAGGGTATTTATGTTAGTTTTGTTGGTAACCAAAATTCTGGTTAGAAGGTTACCTAAGACTTAACGACCAAGAGGTGTTTTCAACAGGTTGATGAGATACACTAGATTTTTTTTAAAAGAGAGAAAAAGAAAATGGATGCTACTGCAGAACCAACTGGCCAGCCCTGAACACATAGTTTTACAACAGGACTTGGAAAATCTCACTATAATGGAGCTGAAGTGAACTACAGGGCCAGAGTAAAAGACATAAGTAATTTGAATCAGTATAATAAATTGCAGAAAATAAATATATTTGATTGATTAAGTACCAGTGGAAATGTGTGGGCTCAAAAAGTCTGAATGACATGACAGACAAGGGATTCTTCTAAGAAAGTTAAAGAAAATCTTAATAATAACGCATTTAATAGCCATAATTATATTAACTGAGAGCATCGCTTTTTTTTTAATCCTCACTGAAGTACGTGCTCACTGATTTTGGAGAGAGGGGAAGAGAGAGAGAGAGAAATATCAATCCATTGCCTCTTGTCCACACCCTGATGGGGAACCAAACCCACAATCTAGGCATGTGCCCTGACCAGGAATCGAACCTATAACCTTTCAGTTTACAGGAGAACACTCCAAGCAACTGAACCACACCAGCCAGGGCAAGAGAGAATTCCTTTCTTAATATAACCATGCCCCCAATGCTTCATATAACTATTCACCATTAGTAAGAGATAACTAGTGATAATTAAAGACTTTTGAAAGGTAGTAGACAATACCTTTTCAGGTTTGAAATACCATTAAATTTTTCTGTATATTGAAAATCAAAATACCTAAGCTAGTTTTAACTTTGAATTCTCTTTTCTGTTATTAAGGAAATATCTGAGTGGCTACTGTATGCCAGAAAATATGCTAAGCACAGGGGAATACAAAGATAATTAAGATACTATACCTCTTTCTTATGAACTTAGAGTTATATTAGAAATATATATATATGGATACAGTTGAGATGCAGCATAAGTATCATACTAAGTGTCAAAACTGCTGTAGGAGCAAAAAAATATGACTAAAACTACTTGAATAATAGGAGAGTTACTTAAACTGATGTTTGAGCTGGGTCTTAATAAATGTAGAAGTTTGCTGCATAGGGAGCAGTGCTAGAATGATCCAGATGGAGAGCAGGAGCAGGAGCAGGAGCAGGAGCAGAACCCAAGGGGTATAGGAGCAAAAGGTAAAAGAGGCTGTATGTTCTGACTTCTCAACCAGTGTGTGGGGTGGAGAACAGAATTTGTGGGAGAAAGACAAGAGTTGAGGCTGAAGAAATAGGCAGGTACCAGGTTATGGAGGATCTTGTGTGCCTGTAAGAAATGGGGAACCATTTAAGAATTTCAGCCAAAGTCAGGAGAACAATTATAAAATGTTGATTATGATGATTATACAAGTGAAAAATTAGGCCTCGACTTTATTAAGTGGCAGAGGGGACAGGGAAAAGAGAAACCAGACAGGACAAGACTTTGTGATTGAATCTTCATGTTGAGGGAGGAGATTGTGTTTGTGCCTGATGATCCCTCTTCATCAAGATCAACTCTTTTGGTGTCAGGGAGACTGAAAGGACAAATAACAATAGGAGGTGTAAAAAACAGGGTAGAGGAAAACAAGGCTTCCAAATGTAGGGGTCTGTAGACTTAAGCTGTCTTAAGAGAATAATTATGCACCATCAATGGTTATCAAAATTACTTTATTTCAACTGTAGAAATATAAAAACTATATATATATACATATATATATATAGTATCTATCTATCTATCTATCTATCTATCTATCTATCTATATGTACTCAAGCACACCCAAACTTTAAGTCCCAGCTTTAGCTCCCCATAAGTATAATTAAATTTAATTGAGACCTATATATTTATGTTTGGTGTAAATATAAAGAGGATTATATTTCTAAAAATTAGAACAGAAGAAAATAATACATCCAGTCACTGATAAAAGCACAGAACTGTAGTGGTCAGTACCATGAACTTCCCAACTCCCACTCCATTCCAAAATGTTACTAGCAGATAATTACAGGAATTTCAGTGATGTTGGCAGTGACTGGGGAGAATGGCCATGTGATCCATTCCTGACCAATAAGACATGTGGAGACACAAGGTTTGCTGGGAGAACCTCTGTGAAAAAGTTCTTCAGGTCTGTGAAGGAGACACAGAAAAATTGTTCATCTTTTTCCTCTGGGTGCTGCCAGGTCTCAACAGGTCGATGGAAGAGCTACAGCCATCATGCCACCAGCTTGAGTATGAAGCCAGTACTAAAGGTGGCAGAGCAAGGTGGAGGGAGCCTGGTTCCTCACTGAGCTACAAAGCCCATCCTGTTTGAACTTCTTATTATTCAGGATTATAAATGTCCTTATTCTTAAGCCATTAGAATCAAGGTTTTCTGTTACAAAAGCTCCCCAACTGAAACGATAACTACAGGTAGAACAAAAGTGAACATTAACATGTGGTTATAATGCATTGAACTAAATTTTCTCCTCCTGTAAGTCAATTCCTCTTATAGTTATTTTTTTATTTCATTTGAGTTTTACATAATACCATCCCTCTGTCAAAACAATTGTCATTAATCATTTTTTATATGATCATATGTATCATCTGTCCTCTCACAGAGTATTACTAGCAAAGAGAAACAGAACAAAGAGAGGAGAAGCAGCAACTGAATTTTGCTCTCTGTTAAGGTGCAAAAAGATTTTGTTGCTCTTTTATAGACAATTTGAAAGTTATGGTAGTAAACTTTTTCTGATTGGTGCCAATGGAAATAGTCTATGCAAGAATGAGTCTGACAATCTTCTAATAACTGTTTCTTTGAGAATAAAAACAACTAAGCACTTTCTTAAAACTAATAATATATCCTCATTTGCTTGCCTCCTGGCTGTATTAGAAGCATTCATATACATTTTTAATAACCTTAAATAAAAATATTACATGCAAAGTACAATCACAGTGTTTGGCACAAGGTCTTATTACCAGCAATAGTTTACTCAGAACAAAACACTGAGTCTGGTCTAAAGGTGTCTTAGTGTCTCTAAAGCTCCCACTAGTTGATTCATAATGTATTTGCTTGCCTTTCTATAGCTTGAGTTTTGCTTTCCTCTTCTCAATACACTTGAAAAATTCAGTCTCAGGACTACTGTATGCCTTTCATTTTCAGAGGCAAGCAGCCACTCTGGCATTTCTTATTACAAAAAACCCATATGAGAAAGCTGGCAAGCTTAGTGGACTTCCTGGGCCAAGAGGTTTTTCTGTCAAAGCTGGCAAGGTCTGATCATCCACCATCTTCAGAGTTTTATCATTGAGTTGGACGTATCTGCAAAGTGGAAAAATACATCTAAGTTAGCCAAGTTGTGTGTGCTCTGCCTGCTCTACGAAAGTCATGAGATTGTTTCAAAACCAAAAAAAAATTTTTGTGATAGCCTGTGGTACATAACTTGTATTACAACACTCTTATCAGTTAGGTATTTGAACTAGATGATATCTGACAGAATTGACTAGTTGTGACAGCGACCGTATGGCCTACAAAGCCTGAAATAGTAACTGTCTGGCCCTTTACAGAAAATGGGATACACATCATCTATATTAAGCAATATGATGGAAGTACAAAAATGATAAACATGACATGACTTCTGAATTCGTGGAAATTTTATTTGATGGAAAATAATTGAAAACATTTTTATGCAGAGCAAATACATATATTGAATGGAATGTAAATTTCAAAAATTTACATAAAAATGACAATCAATAAAGTTTCCCACTGGTAACTATGCCCATAACCCTCTAACTCCCCTCTCCTCAGGAGGTATACATTCATTATCTTATGTTGTGGAGATATTTTGGTAGAATGTATACTGTTGGGTAAAAGAAAATGGTTTTGTTTGGTTAAACCACAGATTCCAAAAAACTTATGTTTTCTTTGCATTTCACTACAGCATTCTAATTCAAACTGAGTCAAAGGCTGGAAAAATTGTTAAGAACAAGTATTATTTCTTATGCCTATTTACTGTTAATACATGTTTGCAGCAACAAAGCCAATATAAAGAAGAGGGGATGACAAAAGCTTTAGTCTGCTTTAAATTCCACTAATAATTCCATAATTCTAAATGATGCTCATATCTCTATTATCTTTTTCTCAAATGGTTTTTACATCATGCAAAAGGGAGCACTTTTTTATTGTCGAAAATTTAGGAGATTAGTTAACGTTAGAGTTATATTTATGTCAGATATGTAATACATGTAATATATGTAGAACACTTAAAATAGTGTGTTGCATATATTAAGCACTGTGAAAGTATTATCACCATTATTCAGAAATAAATACAACAAAAATAACCTGTTAAATCACCCCAACTACTTTTAGTGTTTTGATGTATATTCCTTCATCTCTTTTCTATGCATGCATAACATATTTCCATTTAAACAAAATGAGTATACTATACAGTCTCTTAAAACTTGATTCTTTCAAAGAGGACATACAGATGGCCAATAGACATATGAAAATATGTTCAGTGTCACTAATCATCAGACATGTGCAAATGAAAGCTACAATGAGGTATCACCTCACACCTGTCAGAATGGCTATCATCAATAAATCAACAAATAACAAGTGAGGATGTGGAGAAAATGGAATCCTAGTGCAATGTTGGTGGGAATGCAGATTAGTGCAGTCCCCTGGAAAACAGTATGAAGGGTCCTCAAAAAATTAAAAATGGAACTGTGTTATGGCCTGATGATTCCACTTTCCATTTCTGGGTATATAACCAAAGAAACCCAAAACACTAATTCAAAAGAATATATGCACTCCTATGTTCATTGCAGTGGTATTTACAATAGCCAAGACATGGAAGCAACCCAAATACTCACTGATAGATGAGTAAATGAAAAAGTAGTGGAATATATAATGAAACATTACTTGGCCATAAAAAAGAATGATATTTTACCATTGCAACATCATGGATAGACTTAGAGGGTATTATGCTAAGTGAAATGAGTCAGACAGAGAAAGACAAATACCACGTGATTTCAATTATATGTAGAACGTAAAGAACAAAATAAATGAACAAACAAAATAGAAACAGACTCATAGACATAGAGAAGAGACTGATGGTTGCCAGAGAGAAAGGACATTGAGGGACTGCTGGAAAAGGTGAAGGAATTTAGAAGCACAAATTGGTAGTTAAAAAATAGTCCCGAAGATGTAAAATACAGCATAGGGAGTATAGTCAATAATATTGTAATAACTATGTGTGGTACCAGATGAGTACAGGAAATATTGGGGGGAACACTTTGTAAAGTGTATGATTGTCTAACTGCTATACTGAACACATAAAAGTAATACAAAATAATACTGAATATAAACTATAATTGAAAAAAATAAAATTTAAAAATAATTTTAACAATTTAAAAAAACCTGATTCTTTCCCCCTGAATGCATCTTAATATTTGTTCACACCATTAAATGTTCATCCACTACCCTACTTCATTTTATAAGCTGCACAGGATTCCATTGTATGAGAATGCTAGTTTGTTTACTTAATTGTCTAATGTTAGACATTTGGTGGTTTCCAATTTAGCATTATTATAAAGATTTCAGTTTTAAAGATCTTTCATGCTTTATCTTCACTATTAGTCAGCAGAACTGTGTTCCATTTAACCTTGGTTTGAGGCCCAGCTCTGGGGTCTGTACTATCTGTACTTAAGACATAGCAATAAGATGCCTATGATTGTGCTGGAGGCTAAGGAGACCACACTGTGGTTTTACTTGGTCCACATGCACCAGAGTTTGTTTTCATGCCTGCATTACATCAGTTTTTCAATGGGCTCCAGGAGGAAATGACATGATCATTATCAGGAAACCACAAAGAAAAAAAGATTTTCAAAACATCTATATGTGACAGGAGTAAGAACTGTTCTGCATGACACTGAGGATCACTTACAAGGGTACACCAAAATGTTTCAGAAAGACTTTTGAATTAGGCTACTGAGCTTAAAGATAAATATGATCATTGTAAATTAATACTGCTCTGGGTGAGGCTGATGAGACATGGGCAAGATACTCATTCCATCAGGCTAAATCGTTTAATCACCTATAAATATAATAAGGTCTTTCCAGAAAGTATCCAGCCATGCAACATGAAAAAGAGACATTTATTGAAGAAGATACAAGAAACATTATCCATAGGACAATGATGCTCTGGTTCCCTTCAAGGTAGGCAGCTTGGGATGACCTCACACCATTCTCCCAACTGCAGCAAAATGTTCCTTCTGCTCTGGTACCAGAAGCCATGGAACAAATCTTGACAGGACACACTTCATGCCAAGATTCTTTGTCAAAATTTCAGACACAGTAGTTTTTGGAATCCCCAGATCAGCTTCTCATTCTTGCACTGTTAGTTGCCAACTTTGTTGATTGTAGCTCATACACATTCAGCATTCTTAAGTATTGTGCTTGTTGGCCTTCCAGAATGTGGATCACTGTGAACAGATTCTTGACCATCTTAGAAGCATTCGTGTGACATTTTAAGTTGCACTGCACTCGTTGCATTGTTCCCCAAAACATTCCGAATCATCGGAATAGGTTCCGCAGAGAATGTTCAGGCTTAACACAAATTTTGATGCAGATTTGTTACTCTACTTGCTCAGTTATTTTGAGTGCAATGGCCACCCTCCACACATGATCAATCACTCAATGACGTCTACTCCCTCCATTGACTAGTATAGTGAAGTCATCATTGTTCATGCATGTGCATTCTAGTTCACTCTCCTTGGCTGCCAGGTTATATCAATGTCATGCAAAGCATTCTGGTTATATTAACAATGGCTGGACTTTTCCAGAGATTATCAGTGTAAGCTTAAAGCATGTTGGTAATTTCCACATCAGGCTGGACAATATGGATAGAGTTTTATTTAAGAGGAGTAACTTGTTTCATATTTGAGGTCAGTAACATGATGATGAAGAAATATAAGATGCATTTGTAAAATTTCAGGTGAAATAGGACTGGAAGACAAACCAATTGTCCTTCAAATATTTGAGAGATATTCTGGAGGAAATGAGGTAGTTGGCATTACTCCAGACTAAGGGTAGCCAACTCAAATGCCCTCAGGGGTCAAGAAGGTTATATTTGCTAGTGTAGTAGGACAGGCATAAGATAACGGGGTCACATCTAATAGGAAGAACAAGCCCAGAGTTGCCAGAGGAGCCATTCTTTTTTTATTCAGTTTTATTTTTTAAGTATTTTTATTGATTGTGCTATTACAGTTTTTCCAATTTTCCTCCCTTTTCCCCCAACTCTGCCCAGCACCCCATCCCTTCATCCTTCCCCCCCTTTGCTTAGTTCATGTCCATAGGTTGTACATGTAAGTTCTTTGAGTCCTCTGTTTCCTATACCATTTTTTTATCTCTCCCCGTCTATTTTGTACCTACCAATTATGCTTCTTCTTCCTTGTACCTTTTTACCCCATTCCTCCCCTCCCCCTCCCCACTGAAGTCTCTCCATGGGATGTCCATTTCCCTGATTCTGTTCCTATTCTAGTTGTTTGGTAAGTTTTGTCTTCATTGTTTTTCTTTTCTTTTACATTCACTTTTTTATAGTTTAAGTTTGTCATTTTATTGTTCATATTTTTGATCTTCGTTTTCTTAGATAGGTCCCTTTAACCTTCTCTTTAACCTTCTCAGGGATGACAAACTCCTTTATCTTGACCTTCTCTGGGAAGCACTTTATCTGCCCTTTTATTCTAAATGAAAGCTTTGCTGGATAGATTAATCTTGGATATAAGTTTTTGCCTTTCATAACTTCAAATACTTCTTTCCAGCCCCTTCCCCTTTATCACTATCTAACTCCTTTTATCTCCCTCCTTCCTTTTTCTCTTTTAGGATTCTCTCTTTATCTTGGATCTTAACAAATCCTTGTTTCCTCTTGTCCAACCTGGCTCCTTCCCGGAATCATTTCCTTCACCAGATTGGGGGAGTTTTCCTTCATTATTTGTTCAAATAAGTTTTCAATTCTTTGCTCTTGTTCTTTTTTTTTAATTTTTTTTAAATTGATTATGCTGTTACAGTTGTTCTATTCCCCCCTTCATTCCCCTCCACCCTGCCCCCCCATCCCCACCATCACCCCCCTTTAGTTTATGACCATGTGTCTCAAGTCCTTTAGATTCTATATTTCCCATGCTATTCTTGCCCCCCCCATCTATTTTCTATCTACTGTCTATGCTACTTATTTTCTGTACCTTCTCCCCCCATCTCCTCCTCCCACTCCCCTGTTGCTAACCCTCCTTGAGATCTTCATTTCTATGTTTCCACTCCTGATCTAG